TGATGCTGAACTTGCCATCCTGCCATAAAGAACTAGAAAATTGGACAAAAATGTCAAATAGCTGTTCTCAGAGAACGCACAGCTGGAAGTATGGGACAGATCCCTGAAAGAGGACAGACAAGGCAAGCCCTATACTTGCCCCAACTCAGGTGTTTCAGAAGGTACTGAGGTAAAATTCAAGTCAAAGAGTAATGATTTTGCTGAGCTGAAGAGACAGATTGGGATAGAGAGAAGTTTAAGTGGTTGGAACGTATTGATCAAACTACCTGGGAAAACAAAGCTATGGAACGATCACCATCAATCTCCTTAGGTGTTCTCTTGGCTTTTGAGCTGAATTCTAAATTGTGCCTGCTAACAGTGAAACCTGGAGACTGAGCAAAGACTGAATGGGGAGCTGAGCAATTCCCAGGGCTCACACAGGGCTGAGAGCCACTGGAGTTCTGACCAGCCAGAGTGGACAGATCTCACTGAATATCCAGGACATTCAGTAGAGATCCCTGAATATCATGCCTTACTTAGTAGTATGCCTAAAGTAGTCCTAAGAGTACAGTGTGAGATAGACCCAACCTGACAAGCTTAACAAGGCTTGAAAGGACTAAGCTGATCCATAGCTAACTTACCTGCCTCCCCTAAAACAAGCTGACCTCCTCAACATTCAACGCACTGTAAAGAAAACAAATTCCACTCAACAAATCAATGTCCAGCTCAGTCACAAACTACAAGATATGTGAAAAGGTAAGAAAGTGTACCCACAACCAGAAGAAAAATCAGTTGAATAGATCCAGAAATAATAGAAGTAATGGAATTAACAGACACAGCTTTAAAACACCAATTCTAAATATTTTCAAGGATCTGAAGGATGAAAATAATGAGGAAAGAAATGATAAATATCAAAAAGAACCAAATAAATATATAGAACTTAGAAAACATTGTATAGCTTTACAATACATTAGAAATGGCAAAAGAAAAGATCCCAGACTAGGAGGAAGTATTTGTAATACCTGTCACAGACTTATACTCAAGGTATATAAAGGATTCTGAAGAGGGGTGCCTGGGTGGCTCAGTTGGTTGTGTCTGCCTTTGGCTCAGGTCATGGTCCCAGGGTCCTTGGATTGAGCTCCATGTTGGGACTCTCTGCTCAGAAGCTTTTTTTCTCCCTCTGTCTGCCTCCCCCTGCTTGTGCACACTCTCTGTGTCAATAAGTAAATATCTTAAAAAAAAAAAAAAAAGATTCTTAAAATGAGTAAGAAAACAACCCATTTTAAAAATAAGCAAAGTATTTTAATAGACCCTTCACATAGGCATAAGAAAAAATGTTCATCAGAGAATTGCAAATGAAAACCACAGTGTGATACCAGCAATTTACTAGAATACTCAAACATTGCTGCTGAGTGTATAAGATGATTCAATTATTTTGGAAAAGATTAAGGATAGGCATACACTTATGGCCTAGAAATCCTACCCGTTGGTATTTACTGAAAAGAAATGGACTTACATATTAATGTTTAGAGTGCTTTATTTTTAACAGCTCCAAACTGCAAAGAAAAATATCCATCAACAGATTCATGGACAGACATTGTGATTTATAATAGAATACTACTTAGAAGTAAAAAGGGATGAATGACTGATACATACAACTGGATTGATCATAAAAAAAATGAACAAAGCCAGAAACAAAATATAGTACAATCTTACTTATATGAAGCTTAGGAACAGGTAAAACTGGTTTCCAGTAACAGATCTCACTAGTTGCCTGGTACCAGGTATATGCATGGCAGGTTGACTGGCACAGGAGGGAACTTTCTGGCATGATGAAAATGCTCTCCATCTTGATTATAATCAGCAGTTACATAGATGTGCACATTTTCCAAAACTAGTGTCAAACTTGAAATGAGTGCTTTTTACTATATATAAAGTATACCTCTAAAAAACTGATTTTTAAAGTGTTACTTTAAAACACTTTACTCTCCTACTCTATACCCAAAATAAGTGGAATTAATTTCAGCTTCATGAATTTTTACTGGACACTGAGTAATTGACAGGTAGGTCAGCCAAGGTGACTGCTTTGATTTTAAAAAATCCAACTTAGAGGTTTTCCTTTTTATAGAGAAGTTATTAAAGGTTCCATCAACGATGAGGTTGTTTTCTTTGTGTACTATCAAGCACTGAAGTCTGAGAGGTAGAGGATATTCCTTTACTGTAAATGGATGCATGGGTATTAGAATGTATAGGCTTAACATAAATGGGAGTTAGCATGTCCCATATTTGAACCTACTTCTATTAACTATCAGTAATAGTACTTCACAACTTGTTTTAAGGGTAAATTGAGTTCTTTTTTCTTTTTTTAAAATAAACTAGAGGCGCACCTGGGTGGCTCAGTAGGTTAAGCCTCTGCCTTCAGCTCAGGTCATGATCTCGGGGTTCTGGGATAGAGCCCCTGCTCCCTGCTCAGTGGAGAGCCTGCTTCCCCACCTCTCTCTGCTTGCCTCTCCGCCTACTTGTGATCTCTGTCAAATAAATAAATAAAATCTTTCAAAAATAAATAAATAAACTAGAAAGCCATGTATATACACTGGCTTGCTCTACTATTCCCTTCTTTATATTCCACCTGTTGGAATCAAGGATTAGGTCAAGATAGCCTGAGTCACTCTTCCAAAGGCTTCTGGTAATATGTCCTGGATTTCCCTTAGCAGATTCCTTTCTGTACTTGTTAATTTTATTATACCAAAGATAACACTTCATCACTATTTAACTAATTTGGAAGAAAGTTGGGTCATACAAAAGTGATTGTGCTTTATAAGAATTTCTACTTACATTATAGATAAAAACCACCAAATATTTGGCTTAGGTGTTGTAAAGAATTAAGATCATGACATGTTTACTGTCTGTTGGCTTATTTGGTCATAAAATAAGACTTAAACAAAAGCCAAGCAAGCAATGTTATAATCTAGGGTCCCAGGCAAGACAGACTTAGTATGGTAAATGCTCTAAACCATCAAGAGTATTTGGTATGGGCAGGCAAGGTTGGGAAATCTTCATGAAGAAGTGGAATATATATTGGATCTTGGCTTATTACCTATTTTTTAGAACTCAGAAACAAACACACATTAAGGAGAAACTACAGAAATTTAAAAATAAAAGCTGTATTATAGCTTCTCCCGTAGTGGCACTTGAGACTATTTTAATGATACGTGGCTTTTCCAAATATACTATTTTTGGGGTATTTTTTTTTTCATCTATGATCTGAGATGGATTCATTTTTCTACCTGAACAATATTAAGGTTCACTGCACATAAATCCACTTAAACAGATATGAATTAGTCATGCTCTTGGCCCTATAACTAGTTCCACTAATAGTGGGGAAAAAAAAGTAAGTGATCTTACAGCATCTGATACTCTTTCAGGGAAATTTTTCTTTCTCTACAAATAGATTTAACATTTAAATGTATGTATTTAAAATAATTGATTTGTTTTGGACAAATATTCCTACATAAGACATTCCAAAATTATACAATCTCTGATATAAAGTGAAATTCAGATTTTACATGCTTGTATACATTTATTTTTCCAAAAGGCAATATAGGGGATGGAGGAGGGGAAGACACAAATAAGGCAGCTCACACAAGGTTCACACAAGGTTTTTAGGGCAGTGAAAATATTCTATGATACTATAGTGGTGGATACATGTCATACACTTGTCCAAGCCCATAGAATGTACAACATCAAGGGTGAACCCTAAATTAACTCTGGACTTTGGGTGATTATGATATTGATGTGGGTTCACCATGATGTGGGTTCACCAAGTATGACAAATATACAACATTGTGGTAGGGGATGTCAATAGTGGGGAAGGTCATGAATGTTTGGGGACAGGAGATGGGTTGGAAATTGTGCTGTGAACCTAAAACTACTCTAAAAAATAAAGTCTTTAAAAAGCAATAATTTGTAACATTTTGAAAAATTGCAGTCATTTCTTACTTAACCCAGTAGGAGTATTTTTCTTCACGTAAAGTTCCCCAGTCATAAAAAGCTAGTCAAAAGAAAAGTGAAAATAAATTCCTTCCCAGAAGATCATCTTGGTCTGGTCAGTAATTCAAGTTTCTTGGGTAAAAGAAACTATAAAATAACTTGTATTGTAAAGTGCTACTTTAAGGATTATGGCTGCAGAGTAACTTTTTAATGGGCAAATGTTTCATTTCACAGAACTCATTTTTTTTTAGTGAACATGTTCTGTTCTAAATATTTTTATGGTTTACATTGAGTAAAATTGTAAACTTACGTTACTTACCAGTTAGTACATAGGACAATATAGGAGATAGGGGCTTTCATTTAGTAGAAGGTCACCATCATTAATTTTACAACTAATGATTTTATAATAAGTCCTTCTAGTTCCTGATGGTCATTATTGAAGTATAATGCATTGAAGATATGACCTGTACAAAGGCAGAACAGGGATCTTAATTAGAATTCTGACAAGCCCACTCCAATAAAATGATGAGATTATTTGTAATTGATGTCACAATGAATTACCATTTAGTTCATCATGAGCACTCTAATAGGTCTGGCCTTGGTACTGGCCCCAGGATGTTGCTGAGTGAGTGGCTGCCCTGCTTATGCTGTTTTAGAGACAGGAGGGCACATTTTCAGTCAGCATCCTAATGACCTCTTTTGAAGTCTATTAAATTAATGACCCTGTCACACTGTTTTGATCTCTATAACCTCAGTTTGGGGTTTGTGTAACAAATTAATATTTGGGAACCATGTGGCAAAAAAGATAGGTCTTTTAAAATGACAAAACCTTAACATTACTAGTATTTAATAAAAGATATTTTGTTGTGCAAGAAATAAAAGCAAAAATACAGATCATAGGGTGTGTGTTTTATAAACAAGAACTTTAGGACATTTCTCCCTATTACCAAAAGACATGCTTTTTATTTATACTACCCATATTTGGTTTTTTGTTTGTTTTTTAAAGGGGCTGCTTTCTTCTCTAAATCTAGGTGCCAACAGGTCACGTTTGGTTAGAAGGTGATAATCTACAGAATTCTACAGATTCCAGGTATTATGGACCTATTCCATATGGACTAATAAGAGGACGTATCTTTTTCAAGGTATTATTTTCTGCTTAAAATGTAGGTTTTCTTCTCTGAGCTGGAAGAAAAATATTTTCCTTCAAAATGAGCTTTGAAATATTCAGGCTGTCAATGGACTTAACTGTTACAGCAGCTACATTTTATGAACATGCTGGCCTTCATAGCTATAAACATTACCTTTTTCCCTACTGAGACAGGTAATTAAGAGTAATTGTTTATTTGAATAATAAAGTTCAAACAACCTTAGCTGTAAGAAGCCTTTAATTTATATCTCCAGAATGTAATTCTTTCTCATACAACTTGTACAACTATATTCATATCTTGGACGTAAGTATGCATTTGCAGAAGAGCAGATGAAGGACTCTTAGGAAAGATGATTATTTTCACTGGCTCCTCCTTTTTGCCACAGCAGTAAGAAGAAAAACACATGAATGCTATTGGATAATCTGCAGGATTCTTCACACTTATGCAGAGGTTACATTGAAATCCTTAGGTTTATAGTTAACTTTGAGGGTAGTAAAAAAAAGCCCACAGACACACATATTACGTTCATATACCACATAACATATAAATTCTTGTGTAACATATCAGCGTTCCAAACTTTAGAGTTTAAATACATATACACATACAAATTTACTTTCTAAAGTCTCATTTTGTATAGAAAATTTGTTCTTGACTGAAAATAAGGAGAAAGTGTTTAATTACATTGCACAGAGAAAAGGGATGAATAAAAGGAATGATGATGATGTAACACTTTCATTAACTGTCTTCAATCACATTTCAATTTTACAGATTTGGCCTCTGAGTGATTTTGGATTTCTCCGTGACAGCCCTAATGGCCACAGATTTTCTGACGATTAGCAAGCATTTATTCTTTTGATTATTCTCTCCAAGTGAATTTATTATTGCCACTGAAACCATATACTTACTAATAAACTATTTGCTACTTAGTTTTAGTCATTTGTAATTGTTATATGGAAGAATAAACGATACATATTGCAAGTGCTATTAGTTCCAAATATATGGATAAAAATATAATCCAAGATAAGAAATCTAAAGTTTATGATAGATATAAAAATATTTTTAGGGAAAAAACCTGGATGACCACCTCACATCTGAATTTTTGGTTTAATAGTTATAATGAAAGTAATCTTTTCTTGACTGTGCCTCATACTTTTGCTACATTTACACATCAGAGTAGTAACTAGTCTTTCAAGTCTAAACCAGTAATACCATGAATTCAACCAATAAAAACCTGCTAAGTCACATACTTGGTTCACTCTTTTGAAATTAAAGTTCCAGTGATCCTATAAAGGATACCTCAATCTTTTCAAATGAGTCCTGACTTATACTGTATATAGGATATCAAAGATAGAGAAAAATAAAATCTTTAGAGTCCATTATAATCAATAATAACATTATAAAAGTCCATTTGTTCATACCAGCAATGCAATGGTTCCTTACTCATAAATACAGGAATTAATACTTAGTACTTTGAAATAAAAAAGGAAGTAATGCGTCAGTTTCAGATTATTTTTTTTAGAGCTACCATTCCTAAGTTACATTTAAAGTTGAAGATGGCAGTGTTTAAACTTTATTCCCTTTAACGTAGCCACACGAAGAATCTGGAAATAGAGTTGCCAGGACTGGAGTCAAGTCTTTACTCCAAAAGCTATCTTTTCTACAGTTGTCATTTCACCTTCTTTATCAACTTTGAAATAACTTCGTGAATATCCATATCCAGCCCTCATTATGGGAGTACTAGGTTCACATGTTATTTACAAAGATTATAGTTTAATCTTAATGACTTGAGACTTTGAGATACTTGCACAATAGGCCTATACCTTTAGCAGCTAGAAATGGCATGTTATTTCAGAAACCCAGTAACTATAAAGGAACATGATAATACTGTGACCCATTATAAGAAGAGACATACTTAAAGAAAAGGAAAATTCTTATTTTACACCAAGGAAAAAATGGACCAAATAACAAAGTTCTCAGATAGGAATTCACAAAATAGAACTTAATAATTCAAGTCATTTTTTTTGGGGGGGGGGTGATCTATAAATAGAAAGTATAAATACATATAAATAACTAAACGAATTTTCTGTTAATCTGGGGTAGCCCTTGCTTGACAGTCTTACACTTTCTCTGCAAATAAAAGCTGACCCCAAAAAAAAGAATCCTCCTCCTTTTTATTAGCTTTATACATTTACTTGAATGGGCTCTCTTCAACATGTCTGAATACAGAGTTAAAGGATCATTTAGTGAACAATTTCAGCCATAATGAAGGAGTTCTATAATTAATGAACATGTATCACAAGAAATCAGGGTAACTTCTTCCGCTTCATCCTTGGAAACTCTGTATTTTCCACCACACCGGCAACTCAGAGAAAAAGAGTCATCATCTGTAAAAAAAAAACAAAACAAAAAAAAAACAAAAATAATGCTTCAAACACTTGTAACTATTTCAACACCTTTTTAAAAATGCAGTTTATCACAGAAATTCCAAAATGAAAGAAGTGCCTTAAGTATAAAACATATTTAAATGAGAACTTGAAACGAATTCTTGTATGGGGCAGTGTTTCTAAAAATTACCTACTAAAAAATCTTGATATGTAGAAGAGAGCTGTAGAGGACTGAAGCTATGAACCAACAGCCCAAAGATCTTGAGGGGAGAGCAAAAGCTCAGAAGCGACCCAGGACATTTATCTGAAGTTTTCTGTTTTCTTAAGATCCACATAAATTTTACATTCTTCTCAACAATATATTTGTCAAAAATACTACTGTGAAGGAAAGAGAAATAGCCCTACATGCTTATGCCTGGAGTATTTCTTTTAGAGAAAACTCCTGTTTGTTTAAGATTTTATTTATTTATTTGAGAGTGAGAGAACATGAGTGGGGGTAGGGGGAGAAGCAGACTCCCCCTGCTGAGCAGGGAGCCTGATGCAGGGCTTGATCCTCATTACCTGAGCTGTTGCCTGTGGATGCTTAAACCAACTGAGCCATCCAGGCGTCCTGCTAATTTAACTATTTAAGTTCAACATTCAGATACTCTGTTCTAGTATCACACTATTTCTGTGAAGTGAGATGCCCAACAGAGGTGATATGGCGCAACATTTAGCCTACTAATGGTGGAAATTTTATTAAATCTACCATTTTCTTGGGAAGCTGAAATGCTCATGTCCTTTAACTGTAAGAATCTGATCCACTGGTCATTCCATTTCGCTGTCACTGAGAAGTGACTGTAAAAGAAAAATAATTACTGATCACCTTATTGGATGATGGTCATAATTTACTAGAGGTACATCAAATATCTTTATTCAGTTAGCAGAGTTCATTCTTTAACACTCAGATCTCATAATATGCCACTAATAGAAAAAAAGAAAAGAAAAAATTAAATAACTCAGTCAGTTAAACAACTGCCTTGTATTTGTTCTCTAATCAAGTTTGGCCTTGGAAAAATCAAAATTAAATAAGCTAACTTTATGTGTTTCTTTTACCAGTAACAAAAACATGAATTCATTCACCCAATCTTCCTTTTTATTTTTCACAATGCCTTTTTTGTCCATAAAGAAAAATAATTTAATCTTGGAATTTTAAAATGCTAACGTCTTTCCTGTCTGAGCCAACATATATATTGTAGTAGCATGCTTTCAACAGTGAATTGTTTCATTATTAAGTTGTCTAAAAATGCACATATTCTAACCATTGGTTTTCTAAAGCTAAATGTCCATCTTATTTTTTTACCACCTCAGTGAACACTCAGAAACAATTTGAGGTGACATGTACTCAGTAAATGATGCAGAGGCCACCATGGGCTACTGGGGAGTTTTGTCACAGATGATTCCAAATGTTAATGCTCACTAAAAATACAAATCTTGTTACATTTCTTATATTATTCTATTACTTAACACGTGGTATCTTCACAGAAATCATTTTAAAAACACTGAAGACAAAATAACCAAGCTGTACAACAGACTAAGGAGAAAGGTTAACCACTCTCTCAACAGTTCTTCAGGGATGGCTTTTAAGAGTAATAACAGGCATTGTTTCATACTATCCTTGGATCAAGAATAGGTAATCCGGCTTTATCTATCATGTTGGGTTTCATCTACTTTTCTCCTGCCTCTGGATCTTCACTTTCCAAGGTTACTCTGAAAATGGCCATGAGGGAATCTTCAAACAATTTTTTTTTTATTTGCCCAGTTGACTGTACTTTTTATTGAATTTTCATCTGCCAAGACTGCTCTTTTCAACTACAAAACTTATATTATTAATTTATAAATATCCCTGCAGAAATAATGGCTTCATGCAGCTATTTGCTGCTCCTAAGATTAAGGATTTCTTCCCTCTTTATTAAAAAACCCTTAATTTAAATAAGCATTGAAATAAATAAATAAATAAATAATAAGCATCAAAGGATGTCCTATACTTTTAAGAGTAACTCTAGCTTCTAATAACTGATTCATTGGCTGTGGTTAGGATTCTTCTGTATCTTCACTGTCAGGTTTACTTAAGGAAATTCCAAAGATAGTAACACATAACTTAACAATTTCATGTTGTACATTTCTTTCACCATCTTGGTTTTTTTTCACCTTTATCATAAAGCTGAGGGGTGCCTGGATGGCTCAGTCAGTTAAACATCTGCCTTTAGCTCAGGTCGTGATCCCAGCAAGCCTGCTTTTCCCTCTCCCTCCACCTGCTGCTTTCCCAGCTTGTACTCTGTCAAATAAATAAAATCTTTTTTTTTTTTTAAAGAAAGAAACTTCATAGTATTTGTTGACTGGACAGATGTTTGAACCACCAATCCATATTAACTTAAAAACTTACTATTTGTATTTTTTTAAAAAAAGCTACTAAAGGAAAAAATGCAAAAACCAGTTTTGACTATTTTGTATTATCAGGAATCATTAGGAAACAAAATATGTTAATCAACTACAGCAAAAAGAACTAATTCATCTAAGAAGAGATTAAACACATACAATACTAGCTGATGAGGTAGCAATACTGTGTTTTCAAAAAATGTATTTAGTTGGGCAGGTCTCCTTGATAAAGGACATGTTCTGGTCTGTCCCCTTCATGAACTAAAAGCCTTTCACCAAAGCCTATGTCACTAAGTATATACTACTTTCATAGCAGTAGTTCTCTTGTTTCCACTGATGAAACTATTATAAAACCCTGGGAGCCCCAGTTATACAAAACCTTAAGTTTCTCATCATTCACTGTAAATAAGAATTTATACTCTAGGATTTCATTTGGCAGTTTAGGAGCTGAGTGGCCCATAAGCAAAAACATGATTCTCCTCTTAAAGTCAATAGCCTATCACCCACCTTCCTAAAAGCACTAAGTTAAAAATTTGCCATAAAAAAATATTCCAGGGGTGTCTACGTGGCTCAGTTGGTTAAAGCATCTACTTTTGAGTCAGGTCATGTTCCCGGGGTCCTGGGATAGAGCCTGTCAGGCAAGATGCTCAGCAGAAAGCCTGCTTCTCCTTCTCTCTCTGCTGCCCCCCTGCTTGTCCATACTCTCTCTCCCCACAACTTTCTGTCAAATAAATAAAATCTTAAAAAAAAACCCAAAAACAGTTCTTTAAAAAAAATTCCAGTAAACTTGGTTTCACGCAGGATGATGGGATGTTTATCTTCTGCCTATCCACATTCATTAGTCAATTTTTATAAAGTGCTAGGGAATTTTTACTCCAGGCTGAACAACAGGTACAGGGTTAAAGTATATAAAAATGCTAAGAAATAGGAAGAGTTTCTTCATTTTCCCAGAGAAACATAGACGTGTGATATTAGTGGGCTCTATACGGGCTCTACAGTTTCTAGCCAAAGCAATTTACAAAACTATCAGAACAGGAGAGAAGTTAAAGTTGTAAAATTCTAGTAATAGAGGGCACTTGCACAGCTCAGTTGGTTAAAATGTCTGACTCTTGATTTCGGCTCAGGTCATGATCTCAGTCATGAGATCAAGCCCTGTGTCAGGCTCAGCACAAAGTCTGCTTGTCCCTCTCCCTCTATGTACACTTTCTTTCTCTCTCAAAATAAAATAATAAAATAAAATAAAATTTTAATAATACAAAAGGGAAAAAAGACAAGATGTCATGGTGGGTGGGTAAAGGGAGTGACATTTTTCTTTTCCACCTAACAAAATCAAGAAAGAGGGGGTAAAAACCAAGCTCCAAGCAGAAGAGTACAGTATTAAAAGCCCTGCCCTGCCATGTAAAGAAATAAAAATAAACAAAAATTCTAATAGAAAATTCATCTCCTATGTCAACACAGGAAGGATGGAAAATATTAACTTTATCTTCCCTATTACACAGATGGAAAGTAAACCAAAACCCAAGTAATTAAAAAAAAAAAAAAACACATGAAACCTTCTGTAACTAACATCAACTTAGACTAGAGAAATAACTGGAAATGAGTCATATAGAAGAACATCAATAATTGAAGTTTAGAATGAAAAAATTCCTAAAACCACCCACATTTATATATTTAAAAAGCCAAGCTATTACTATTTTTTAAGATTTCTAAATATCCCAGAAGAGTTTTTCTTCTTAAAGAAAATCCCTAATGTTTTCCTTTACTGTAATCAAGAGAAAAAAAATCCCAACCTTCGTTCCAACACATTTCTTCAAGATATACTTGAGCATCTACTGGTCCCACATTTCTTAGATCATCTTCTGTAAAATATAAAATGCAACATTTATTTGACACTTCAATCATAACCATGAAGAATGCTGAAAAGGCAACTGCAGCCCGTTGACTACAGCTATAATTTAATTGCCATTTAAAAACTTAGTTTACTACTTTTGACAGCAGTTTTAAGGCTACCTGACTTGTAGTCCACTTCTTACGGACCTCAAAAGTCAAGATCTATCCCATTTTCCACAAGTAGGCAACATGCAAAAACCATGGAGTTGATTTGGTAATTCCTTGTGTTTAACTAGTAACCCCTATTTTTGTGAGAGAGAGGGAATTTTTTTGTCAAGCAATACCTGTAACTAAGGAAGGCAGCATGGGGTTAGGCAAAAATAACTGTATTTGAACCTTGGCTGTAATATTTCACTAGCTTTCTAACCTTAGAAATATACCCTAGATACACTTAGTTATCTCTTATCTACTTCAGAAGGGTTATTTTATGGACTGAACTGTGTCCTCCCAAAATTCTTATGTTGAAGCATTTAGAGATAAGCCTTCTATGAGGGAATAAAGGTAAAGTAAGACCGTAAGAGTGGGGTGGGGTCTTAATCTGATAGAGTTGGTGGCCTTGTAAGAGGAAGAAAGAGGGTCTTCTCTCCATGCACAAGCACCAAGGAAAGTATCAAATAAAGACACAGTAAAAAAAGAGGCCATTTATAGCCAGTAAGAGAGCCCTCACCAGGAACCATACCGACCAGCACCTTGATCTTGGAATTCCAGCCTCCAGAACTATGAGAAATAAATTTCTGTTGTTTAAGCCGCCCAGTCTATGGGATTTGCTGGGACAAAACAGACCAACACCAGTTTGTTGTTCTAATCCAGTGAGATCAGTCTAAAAGTGTCTTAGTTATTTTTAAAGATTTTATTTATTTACTTGATAGGGATATAGAGAGCACAAGCAGGCAGAGCAGCAGGCAGAGGGAGGGGGAGAAGCAGGCTCTGCACAGAGCAAGGATCCCAGACCTGAGCCAAAGGCAGACGCTTTACTGACTGAGCCCCCCAGCCGCCCCATCTAAAAGTAATTTAAAGAACAAAGCTCTAACCAATGTAAGGCTCACCTGATTTTTCATCACTTGCAAGAGAGGGATAGGTAACTCAAAGACTTACTTTAAAAGGTTTCAATAACCATACAACTGTATTGTGTTGATGTTCTATTGCTATTTCCTAGGCCAAAGTTTTCCCTGCAGGTGGAAGGTTCGAAGCAGCTTGGAATTCTACCTAAATTTAGGAAGCATATAGTTTAGGTAGTAGAAGCATGTACTCTTTCTTAAAACAAGTATACTTTGGGACAAAGAAAGCAACTATAGATAAGCACTTGTCTTTGTTTTTAAAGGCATGTTATACTTCATGTATGCTTGTATTGTTCTTCTAGAAGTCGATGCTTAAAAGAAACTACTAAAATCCACCCTTCACCCCAATGAAATTTTCTTTAGCTGTCTCACTAGTCTCTTGTTCACTTGCTGAGAATGCTTTCCTTTGTTCCGTTGTGTGAATGCCTACAATTTAATTATATTTAATAACTGCCTGTTCAGAATTTATTGGTGAGTTACACAATTTTAAAATAGATGAAAAAATTATACAATATTTTGAACTCACTGTGGTTTTCTATTAAGTATGTCAAATATTGTATCACTTCATATTTACTAGGTCCCAACAGTCTATTAAACTGACCCTAAAATCCAAAGATTAAAGACTCTGCCCAGTGGTCGGAGGGTGGGGGAATTCCTTCATCTCTGTGCCCACTGAATAGCTTATGCAGACTGTATCAGTATGTGAGGTAATCTCTGAACAAAAACAATTTCTACATTCTATATAAAGCACACTTGGTTATAGATTATTCAGTATTTTAGTTTTTTAAAAAATTCTCCCTAAAAGTCCCATGGAGAGAAAAACAAATCTTAATCATATGTTTCAATTTCTTAGAATGACTAAGGTAAGTTTGCTTGAATGGAGAAATGAAACACTTTTAGATTTATGAATGGGGGTCATTGGCACTTAACAGACTGTAGTTAGAGGAAAAACAGATGTAAATAATTTACAATCAAGTTGGCTATATTCCAGGGTATCTGATCGATATCTTCAGTAATTTTGGAAATCAATTAAAGCAAATCAGACAAGGCAGAGGTAAGGACAAGATGAATAAGCCTTAATCTAACCTATCTTGGACACCTGCAATACAGCAATTACACAAAAGGACAACCCACTCATATAAGTCCACTATGTTGTTTTTACCTGAAAATAATAAATGAGAAATAACTGGCAAAGAGAACTGCCAAGGAAGTCAGCATATTGCTGTGCTTCTCCATGAGGAAGCTACTGTCACACTCACCTAGTGTTTCACGTGGAGCACCTCTCTATTCCACTTCCTCAAAAAAACGGGCCTTTATATTTTTATTATTTTTTTCTTTACATACAGTTACTTTGGAGTAGCGACCTGTTTCTAAGATGACAGATCAACTTAGATGATATCTCATAATAAGAGGGAAAATAATGCAAAACTGGTTAGTACTTTGCCCAAGGTCAGAGTTAAAAGAAATAAAAAAATAGTCTCATGTTCTGTGGCTATCTAAACATCTAACTATTTGATCTGATTATTCAATATTATGTGGATACAGTCCAGGTTTCTCTGAGGTTCTGGTTTTAAAAGTCCTATCTGACACGAGAGAGAACATACTACATGATTCCCCGTTACATAAAATCTAACAAGCAAAACTACCCCGAGTTGTTGCGTTGACACCATGGTATTGGGTGTGGGGGAAAGTGGTGGCTCCAAGGAGTCACAAGGGACCTTCTGGGTGCTGGTCAGATGGGTGTATTTATTGTGAAAACGCATCAAGCTGGACACTTAGGATTGGTATACTTCTCTGCTTGTATGATACATTTCAACAAAAAGTCTTAAAGTAGTGTGCTGAGACTCCAAGAGCTACACTTTTTAATAGAAATAAGGAAACAAAAGTTAGGGAAAAGAAGTTTAAAGCCTAAGAAAGTGTGTATTCCCTGAAAAGATGGTAATCTAACAACTTCTGAAAAAGGCTGGGGGTGATTAACTCAGGGAAAATTGGATCCCTGGAGAACTGTATAATGAGCAGAAGGGGTACATACAAGTAAAAGGTGAATCTAAATGTAGGGGGTGGGGAGGTGACCACAATCCTTTGTTGAGAGGCAGGTGTCCAGGGAATGGGGCAAGAGCAACTTCCCCCCTAACTACGATTACAAGGAAGGAGCACAAACAAATCAATGTTTTTCTTTTTTTTTCTTTTTAAACAATGATCTCTGCTTGTCCACCATTGTAGTTATAATTAGAAAACTTAATTCCTCCCTAGCCTGTAAAGTAACTCACAGGAACCCTGTAATTAGCTTTGATAATTGTCTTCTAATCAGGCATGGCATCTGCAAAGTAGGTAAGTTCCTTTTCTTTTGAGTATTACATATTACAAATATTTTTGCTCATTACAATGAAATATTTCAATAGGTATCTGAAAATATAAATTCTATCTCAAAGTTTTCCTGTTAACATGACACTACTAAAAATACTGAGAAAACACATACTGACTTATGCAGCGACTTAATTAAAGGAATAGATACAAAAAAAAAAAAAAAAAGGAATAGGTACAAGATTAAATCTGGAATCTTAGCTCCAGAATGGTAATAACTTAAAAACAAACAAACCCAGCCATTTGGAAAGAACACGCAATGCGTGGCATTTGGGTACTCTATCTTAAGTCCAATTACACTACAAGATTCCTAATTCTTTTGAAGTAAATGGGCTCAGCTTTTCCTAAGGTATGTAGGTCCATTCACACCCTGTGCTATACCCAAAGCTTAGCTAAATACAGAGACCAGAAAAAGATCCAAATTTCCTGATATATAGAAAGCAATGCATTATAAAAGGAAATTCCTGTGGAATATAATGATAAAATCAAATAATTTATGTGGTTACTTGGAAAAGAATCTTTCAACCTTCAGAAGTACAGGCCCTTCTGACCCTGTGTTCTATTGGATTTGTCTGACAACAAGAGGTGAAAGAATTCTGTAGCTCCTTTGTCTCAACAGTGGGATCTAAGAAAACACTGGCAGGACTCATCAGAGAGGTTTATGAGCCTGCAATTCAAAGAGATTAAAAGGGAAATCTAGGGAGATTCTTTCACACTGAAGAATAACATTAAATAACTATTAGCAGCTTGGTTCAGTAAAGCTTACTAGAGCTCTCGCTGGGTCATTCACAACTTTCTAAAAGAGGAAAGGTTTTTTTTTTTCAGCTCCATTTGGGAATCAATAAATATTTCTTACTTCTTACAAGACAATGGAATTCCAGCCTTTTAAAGCTTCTTCCTAATGATAGTAAAATTTCTAAAACAACTTTTTGCTGCCTAAATAATTACACTTCCTAATCCCAGGAAACCTGTTCTAACCGTAGCTACAATTCAAATAAATAAGTAAAAATAAGTAACAGCAACAAAAAGCTATGGTGGAGAGGAATTTAACTTTATTCATTATGGCTGAGGTATCAAAAGTCTCATTCAACCCTATATTGGCCAAAAGATCTAGTCCATCTGCAGTTCCGTCCCTACTCTTCATGTGTAGCAATGTTGGAACTTACTCAAGCGATCAAGTCCCCAGGACACTCTCATTTAGCAAGTAGTCTGTTGTATACATTTTTAAGCCTTTTAAAATAAGATTTATTTCACACTTAAGTCATCTGTGTGTGAAAAGCAAACAGTGTTTTTGTTTAGGCCTAACTTAGTATCATGCTGTTTTAAAACCAAGTAATTTAATTGCATATAATCACCTCATTCTTAAAAATCATTTCACTATACATAATTAAATTTTTCATATAGGAACTAACTTGAAGGAAATTGGTTTCCTTCTCCTTAAAACTCTCTGTTCTTGGAACAGTCTCAGACTACCTTGATAAGAGATTCTGAATCAGGCAACATTTAACGTGAAACCTGCTCATTAAATCGGAAAGCTCTATAATCCT